CCAGAGTGCTAGGATTACAGGCGTGAGCCACCGCACCCGGCTGCTCCGTACTATTTTTAACAAGGCCTGTTCACGTATAGGAAAGTATATGTCTCTCTATTTGTTTCTTGGGAAGAGGGATGCAGCTCTCAGGAGAAAAAAATGGACTCTCTACATGTTCCGTCATTTAGAGAGGACCTGGTGAATTATAGATAACTTTTTGTCCTAAGAAAGGACTTTACTCTGGAAAAATCATTCTGAATGTTATGAATCCTATTAAAAGGGTAAAGATAGGATAGATTACCTCCCCACATTTTAACTGTCTTCGTTAGCTTTTGCTTTTGTTGCATAAAATATTTTTAACTTCTCATTTAGTGCTCAATGACAATTCATCTTTCTAAGAGAGAATAACATTTGTGAAAAAAGCCTCATGTTTATAACAGTTGCTATCTTGGAGTTGGAATTATATATAGTTATATATAAAATTTATATATATACATACATATAATACACATAATGTGGAGATATGCTTTTAGGCCAAAATACAGTAGCTCTTCACAGAAAGTCATAGCATAGAAGGTTATAGAAAACTGCTTCCTGCCCTTGTATGTACCTGATAACCTTGGAAACTCTCTAAAAGGCCCTCTATAATTAACTTTGTCATATGCAACCATTTATATTTTTTTTACGTGCTCCTTTTTGAGACTAATATAGTATAATTTAGTTGAAAGTTACAGTCTCACAGGCTGTCATTGTATTCACTATCTTCCTGAATCACTACAAAGTACTGTTAAAATATCATACCTGAGCCCCATTAATGTTGGCTTAGTTATTTAGATTGGTGCAAAAGTAACTGCGGTTTTGGACCGTGAATTTTAAATCATTATAACTAGGCTCTAACACATCTTTATTAATCAAAATAGGAACCATCACAATCAACACATTTTTGCCAACGAGAAATAAGTTTGTTCCTATAGCATAAAAATCTGTGGTTTGGGATTCGACGAACTCTTGGAAAGCATTTTCTGCATCCTGCTGGTTATGGAAGTGTTTTCCTGCAAAAGGTTGTCAAAATGGTTGAAAAAGTGGTAGTCGGTTGGCGAGAGGTCAGGTGAATATGGCATATGAGGCAAAACTTCGTAGCTCAATTCATTCAACTTTTGAAGCATTGGTTGTGTGACCTGCGGTCAGGCATTATTGTGGAGAATTGGGCCTTTTCTGTTGAGTAATGCTGGCTGCAGGCCTTGCAGTTTTTGGTGTAGCTCATGGATTTGCTGAGCATACTCTCAGATATTATGGTTTCGCCAGGATTCAGAAAGCTGTAGTGGATCAGACCACCAAACAGTGACCAGGACCTTTTTTTGGTGCAAGTTTGGCTTTGAGAAATGCTTTGGAGCTTCTTCTCTGTCCAACCACTGAGCTGGTCGTCACCAGTTGTATAAAATCCACTTTTCATCACACGTCACAATCAGATTAAAAAATGGTTCATTGTTGTGTACAATAAGAGAAGACGACACTTCAAAACGATGATTTTTTTGATTTTTGGTCAGCTGATGAGGCACACACTTAGCAAGCTTTTTCACCTTTCCAATTTGCTTCAAATGCTGAACAACCATAGAATAGTCGACGTTGAGTTCTTTGGCAACTTCTCGTGTAGTTGTAAGAGGATCAGCTTCGATGATTGCTCTCAATTGGTTGTCGTCAACTTCTGATGGCCGGCCACTGCACTCCTCATCTTCAAGGCTCTCGTCTCCTTTGCAAAACTTCCTGAACCACCACTGTACTGTATGTTAGTTAGCAGTTCCTGGGCCAAATGCGTTGTTGATGCTGCGAGTTGTCTCCGCTGCTTTACGACCCATTTTGAACTCAAATAAGAAAATTGCTTGAATTGGCTTTTTGTCTAACATCATTTCCATAGTCTCAATATAAATATAAAATAAACAACAGGTAATAAGTCATTAGCAAAAACCATAAAGCGAGAAATGCACATTAAGATAATGTATAACATAACCACATTTATTTAAGAATGTATTCCAATATCAAATGGCAAATTTCAACAATGCTAAAACCGCAATTACTTCTGCACCAACCTAATAACGTGAAGTTTGGTGTCGCATGATGAGTAATCACGTTAAATATTGTTTATCTGTCTCTTTTAACAAGAACTAGGGATGATATTAATTTGAGCATTTCCAATTTTTCTCTACTGCCTATATGCTTTTTCTTTGCTTCTGTTTTGGACATAAATTAAGGTTGGGAAGAGAAGGTTGAAGGCAGCCTAGACAGACCCTACATTACTGCTCTACAATTAAGTCAACCCTGGATAGGAGGTTAACTGGTATATGGAAAGCTTTTTGGGTTTTTATAAATTATTAATATTTTAACTTCTGTTTTACTCATAAAACTAGCATGACTATGTTGGTTATGAGTATTCTCCCCCTGGGAACTAGTCTGTGGGGAACCAAGGTCTGATCGCTCTTTGTAATCCTTTGCCCTCCAAATACGACATCTGGCCTTAGGAAAAAGAACCGTGTTCACCAGCCTGGATGTTCTGTTGGAGTCAGGATTAGAGGAAGGGGATCTCTGATTAGAAAAGTGGCTATCCCTTAAGGAGAAGCAATTTATTTTAGAGATTGTATGGATCGTGTCTCCATGACTTGTTTTGACAGAATATTGATCTCTTCATATAATGTGATTTTCTTTACTCCTTTCCAGAATGTAGAAGCCGACAATCCTCTGCTTCTTGCCACTCTGTTAAACCAAACTCTTCAGTGTCATCAACTGTGACCCCAGAAAATGGGACAACTAATGGATACAAATCAGGATTCACTCAGACAGGTATGGAGTATTTTCTTTTGGCATTTGAAGCAGCAGATGTATATTTAATGAGGCATTTTTAAGCTTACTGTTGGCTGGTTTAAATAGAGATATTTCAAAATAAAGGTATTACTCGAGTTACTATTACAGTTAGAACTCAGCGTTGAGATGGGTTAGTCTGTGGGTGGCCAGGACCCAAGTCCCAACAGTGCTGCCAGTGTCAGGCAGGGGATGGAGAAAGGAGCTGAAAATTGGTAGGGAATTTAGCTCAAACATAGGATCTGATTCCAGGGGAGACTGACAGCAGGGAGTAAGTAGAAATCCAGACATGAGGGACATCTGCATCGTAGCTATCAGGTGGGGCTAGTACTGGGGACACCCTCATGAAGACTGGAGTCCAGGATAGGGCTTTAAGCCCACAGTACGTTATAGGGGGTCATGTACCATCTGGGATACAAAGTAAGGTCCAAGGTAGGATTGTGGATCGAAATAGATGAATCCAAGATAGGGTACAAGATAGGAGCTTGGTTACAAATAACCAGATAAAATCTTAGTGCCTAAAACTAGGTTACAATATCAGGGCAGGATCAGCACAATGGCCCACCAGATACTGAGCAGATAAACTACTAGGCTAAGGCTTCTAAAAATTCCTCCAGTAGAGAGCACTGGCCCAGGCCCTAAGGTCAGGATGAGACTTCAGGTGGGACCTAATGGTTCCAGGTGGCTGAAGGGCTGGAGGGCTGGAACTGAAAAGATCACTGCAGATAATATTTGAGAAAATTACTCAGAACCAGTCTCAGTTATATCTTAGGCAAGAAGGAAAATATTTTAAAAGGATTGTTTTCCAGTTCACTTGCTTTTGAGAAGTACCATTTTATCTGTCTGATATGCAAACTTCATAGCATATGTGCTTTCCCAATGTCCACTGAACCACAAGTTGGAAAGGTCTGCATAGCAGACCTCTTTCAAATTTATATGAAATTCTGATGAGCCAGTAAATTGTTTCTATTTTTTTCAAAATGGAAGTGATTATTAGAATATGTTACCAACAATAGCAATGATAATAAGGCTAAATTTATTTGGGGGCACGTCTTGCCATGTGCCCATAGCCAGCTAAGTCCACCTCATCCTGGATAAGAAAAAAGTCTAACTTGTGCGGAAGATTTAGATAGAGGCTGTGACCTAGAAGGAGACACCATTTCTCTTTAGAATACATGAGAGATAATCATGTCACTAGGTATTCAAGAAAGAAAAGAGTTGGCAATTTGCTCCTGGCATTGAAAGATTAGCCCTTGTTATATTAATGACAAAACTACATGTCTCTCCTAGGATATTATTTTAGTAATTTGAGCGATTCCATTTTTCTGCCATTAGATCTTGGGACTATGAAGTATGATTTTTCAAACTACAGTATTAAAAATCAATATATACTTCATTCTAACAAAAATTTATCAACTGTATTAGGTTCTAAGAATCTTATCAGATGCTGTAAGACAGGGTTCCAATGACTGATGACTGCAATATTTTAAAAACTACTCATGTAAGGGATTAAAGAATAATAAAACGGTTCCCTTACCTAAAAGGGAGAAGTGGATATATAAATAACCAGTTGTACCTGAAAATAATAAAAAGATACTAAAATGTTAATAAGCAGTAATACAATTTTAATTATACCAGCAAATATACTGTGAAAATAAATTTTGCTCTGAAAAAGGAAATCAAGATTCAGGCTTTAGCAAAGGTATCCCAGTTACCATCATGAGACAAGGCGAGGGAGGGAGGGAGAGGTGCTGACCAACTCATAGTGAACACAAGTGATCAAGTGTTATGCCAATGTTTTTGTGCGTCGCTTGTGGGGGTGTAAGTGGTACTCTGACCATGAAATTAGTCATTAACAATTTTAGGTGCAATCCAGAGGCTTTATGTCTAAAACTTTCATATTGATGAATTATGTTTATAGATTCTTCAACAATAATTTCTTTCTTCTGACACATGTTGAAAGTAATAGGCTGTAAGAATTTCATGTTAGCATTATGATATCCTTGCAAACGTTAGGGTATATAGCATCTCCTTAACTGATAGATGGAGATTCACCTTTCTCTAGATTGCCTTCTGCTTAATCTTAATCTGTAGTCAGTGACTGCCTGTAATCAACATTTCTTAGCCTGAAATGTGGGTACACACATTGCATGGTATTTGAAGAAGGGATTAATTTATAATTTACACAGCTTTGTCTTTTTTTTTTTTCTTTTTTTTTTGAGACAGAGTCTC